CTTTCCCTAGAACAGAACATACCCTAGTCTCTCCAGCTAAGTCTTAATTATTTTGGTAACGACAACGTTAATTGTGCTTGGCAGCATGGAACTGACGACTATCGACATTATTAAAGCGGAAGGGTCGTTACCTGCGCACGCGCGGGAATTGAGTCCCAAGCGACGATAACAACACTTGTTTGTAAACAATGACACGCTATGGCCATCTGACGCATGCGCAGGTGGCGACTCCCTCCGCTTTAATCTCTGGTCTCGAACTAAAAGCACGCAGAAAATCTCTATATTGACAGCCACAGTTATTAGACTCCTCGTGCTCTTTAAGAAGAAATATATGCATCTCGCCGAGAGCAGCACTAAATATGTCTTGTCATGCGCAGAAGGTTATTTTATTCAGTTTACATTACATTGATATACCACGAGACGTAGCTTCGTCCATGGGATTTCAATCGCTTTCATTAATATTACCCAAATCTGCGTGGTCACACTGGGTCAACTAAATGGACCAACAGAACAAATAACATATACCGTAGAGTGAGTTGAGCGGAAGTAGTCGGATGATTCCCGAAGTGATGTCATTGGTTGGCATAGATATATAGTATATATGCAATGAGCAAAGTGAAATTGTGAAAATAAGTTAAAAGTGAAGTTAAACAATCAATGTGAAATTACAACAAGTCGCGCAGTTTACTCGGGATTTGAACCCGCAATCTATAATTCCATCCACTGCATCAACCAATGTACTCAAGCTGCCTTCAATGACACGCATGATAGTCCCAAGCACAGTCCCTCCACTGGTCAGTCCCTCCACTGGACAGTCCCTCCATTAGAGGGACTGTGTCCCAAGTATGATAAAACAATGTGTTCCGCATGCGAGATTGCATTGCATTGCATTATGGGATTGCCATAACATGTCTTCTCTTGTATACTAGTACTAATTTGCACAATTACCAGGGCATGAATCAGATGGTTGATGATGTGCTTAGCATATCAGTCATAGTACACTGGGGGTCATGGGTTCAAATCCCGCACATTGAACAACTTGCAATTTCTTAATTTTTTTTTGGGTATATGCAATGACGATGAATGTTGCACATGTTTTTTTTTGGGGGGCATGGTCGGTGCTCTTCCCCCACGTTGCCTCACATCATGGGTATTTTATAACGTACGTTGTCAACTGCCGGTTACTACTATATGGTTTAATTTCACAGATGGAATTAACACTATTTGACGCGGGAATCTAACAGAATGCAATTCGCGATGGATTCGTCGAATTCCGGCATCATGTATTTTCTCTGAAAAAAACCTAAATAATAAAGCTACCAACAGCCATGACACCGAAAATGACAAATAGACAACCTTCCATAGGTTCCGGGTCCATAATTCAGTACAGCGTTTACCCAGAATAACTGTGCCGTAATATGAAGACACTGTATCCCGGAAGTGTGGTATTAAATACCCGGCACCACGTCACAGGAAAGGTCGCATAGACGAAAAAAAGAATAAGCTACTACTTATGCCATAACAATTACAAATCATGGTATAGTTAAAACTCAGAACAAACAAATGTAGGAGCAGAAAATAAAACTTTACATGAACGCGTTCGAAAAATATACAACGACAACTTTCCTAACATATAATCAATGATACAAGGAGACATTTGATATTCACAAGTCGGCGAATCATAGAATTATAAATGAAATAACTATATGAAAAACAAATATAAATATAATATAATATACAAATAAACATTGAACTCTGGAAATCCAAAATGTTACGAACAAAACTACCCGAACGTTGACCTAGGTTGGTTTGCTCAAACCAGTGACTTTTGGTTCTCAAAGTTAAATCCCCAAAATAAACATTCTCTCCTGCTATTCCCATTACAGTGTTAATCCAATAAGTAGATTATTTATTACAGTAGGATAAGAAGACGACCTTCTAAAGGAGAAGCTGTCAAAACCCCGGATTGGGCAGTGCCATGGATTCATTAAAGACAATTGTATACGCTTCTAATCTTTCCTTTTGTTTCCTCATTAATTTTATTTTTAATCTGTGACCAGACAGACGAAACATAACACGGTTTAATGATAATGATCGTGTCGTTGCATATGTGACAACAAAATAAACTAACCCAAAACGAGTATATGTCTGGAAAATAGGTAAAATACAAAAGCCTAATAAAATAATAATAGAGTTGAAGTAAAATTTAACATTTTCAGACTCACCGTCGTTGCCGGGGAAATCGCCAATTGTAATTTAAAGGGCCCCGTTGTACTTATATGGGACTCCGGTCACGTGATCGACACTCAGAACAATGCCAGTGAAAATGAAAACATGTACCAACATGATCACAGATGGGGGAATCCCTGTCAACAAAATGAAGGGGGATTTAAAACTGGGTATTTATGGCCGGATTGCTGCTGCATTTCTTTTTTTAGATTTCATCGCAGCCCCTGACAGCTATTACTTTCCCCGTGTGAGTAACTTTGTTTTCCCCGTATGAGTGTGTTTTTGCGTAAACCCCAGCCACACTGAGTCACGGGCACTCATGCGTTCAGACGACCTGCCATTGTTATCTTGCCCGTTATGGGTTTTTAGATAACCCCGGCCGGTAATTTAACAACACCATAACAACCATGTGGCCGGAGTGGGCGTGGGCGGAGCACCATCGAACAAGCAACCATGAACAAAAACTATTTAATTGTTATGTCTGATATCATACAGAGAACAATAAATAAAGCAATTAACACTGACCGGAGCCTGGATATGAAATAAACTACATGTTACGAATCTTCCTTTCACAGGCATTAAAATAAAAGCATACTATACCCCCGGACTACACCACACCACCGTGGCGAGACTTAAAAATTGCTCCGTAAAAAAACAGTTTGGCGCTCACCGGCTAGTTCAAAGTAAATATTACATAAAATACATTGCTGTGCTCTACGTGGTCGCATCAACTATTAGATTAAAGACTTACCCTTCCACTATCTCGATGAAGTGCGCTCACGGCGTTTACAATTTGCTATAGATCGGGTCCTCTGCAAATTCACAAATACAAACCTATAGCGTGGCGTCGTTTTAGTCAATGAGAGCACAGACACAATCCCATTCACATACCCATCCTACTAGAATCTCCATCCAAAAATGTTTTTTTTTTTTACACTTCCATGTATTTCATAAATCGGCGATATTTAAAAGCCATACGTTAACAACGCTTCCACAGTGACTAATTGCCATAGCGACATTCTGCCGTTAAAATACACTGAGACATACAGACTTTTAAGTTACCCGGCCAATCTGCTGTTAAAAAGGGATTTAATCAACGACATGTTCTGGACATGTTTGAATTTCTGTTGGTGATTGGACGCTGCCCGTATTCACATCAATGGTTTAGTCGCTAACGATGGGCAATTTGCCAACTTCAAGGTTCATTCCTGCAAACGTATACGAACAAACAAGTCAAAGTAGGTGACGTCATATGTTTACGTTTGGATGTCGCAAATAATAACACTGCCGTTATGTCGCAATAGCTGCCGTATCGGAAGTGGAAACTTGACCTGCGCATTACCGATTTCAAGAATCAACAATGGCGGCGATCAGAGAAGAAATTCTAGCCAATTTTCAGGTATTTTATGTAATAACTCTTCTTCTAGTTCATTTATATCAGTCATAATGGTGTTGACAGGTGTTCCTTAATGTGGAGCAAAGAACCCTTCGAGTGGTTTTCTGGAAATTCTATATATATGCTAGAGATTTTCAATAGTTTGCGCGAGCGTGACGCAGCAAGTGAGATCAAGCAGATCGTCGAATGGGCTCCGTGCCGAAATTTGCTGAATTTCCCATTTATAAACGTCACGAAAGTATACACTTTTCAACTCGTATTCTGACATAATATTTCTACAATATATTACATTGTCTTGGACTTTTTGAAGTGACACGGCTTGACGTTCCCGATCCATGTTGATAAACACCCACCCACTCAGTCTGAATTTTTTTATGACTAGCCAAACAAATAATATAAAAATAAAATGTGTGTTTCTCGATGTACAGATTGTACTACACATCACATACATGCGTTAACTTTATTTCTTGTTTTTCATTCATTATTTGCCAACTTTAAAATTATTTTTTTCCCGAGGTTCTAAATATTCAATTGTGTAAGTTGTATGTGCTTAGACCGGCGTAATGATACCGGCATCACAACACTATGCAAATCGATAGCGATTGTGTAATTCTATGTTTTGTAATTGTATGCAACTAGCTAGCTAGCTAGCTAGCTAGTAACCATTGATTAAAAACAGTGCAGAATTTCACTAATGATTAAGTGAGTGACAAGTTGCCTTAATCTTCTCAGTGATGTTAATGTTGTTCACTAACCTTCTGTCAAAATCGCTGAATTTTTTTACAGTGAACATGTATTTTCATTTCTCAAGCGTCATT